CAAACCCTGATGTGAGCTGACAGGAGGTCATTGGGTGGTTCTCGTTTCCCTTCTGGTGTGTATTTGCACATTTGGCAGTGGAAATATGGAGGCGTGTGATTACTGGGTGATGCACTGGTCCACTGCAGATGTCTGAAAATGCTTGGCACACACATCCTATGACTTCTAAAACCTGAGAGGTTCTGGGTCACTGTGGATCGGAACATACCCGACCCTGTGCTCCCCTCTTCTCCCCGGGAGACGCAGGAGTGAGGGTCTGGGAAAGGCCCGTGTGCCCACAGGACTGTGGGGCAGTGGGACGGGGACCTGAGCCTGTCTGCTCATTGCAAGGGAGGCTTGGCTGGGTGTGGGTTTCCTGGGCTGCTGTAATGAGGTACCACACACTGGGGGCTTAAAGGAACAGGAATGTATCCTCTCACAGCCCAGAAGCCGGAAGTCCTAAATCCAGATGTCGATAGGTCTGGTCCTTCGAAGGAGGAGAATCCTTCCCAGGCCTCCTCTCCCCCAGCTTCTGGTGGCTCTGACAATCCTTGGCGTTTCTTGACTTAGGGACTCCAATCTCTGTCTCTGTCATCACATAGCATTGTCCCCATGTGTTTCTGGGTCCCTCCTCTCCTCTTCTGAGAAGGACATCAGTCATATTGGAGGTAGACCCCACCCTGATCCAGTATGATCTCAACTTAACTAATTACCTGAAGTGTGTGTGATACGGGACATCAGAGGAGAGGGTGACTCCAGGATCAGTGGAGGGTGCTGCTGCCCATGGGGCCGGTGAGCTTAGAGCGGGGCTTGGCCAGTGGAGGTGCCCAGCGACATTCCAGGAGATGCTCAGGGACAGCAGGCTCCAGGCTTGAGCCTGTCCGTGTTTGGCAGATGTCTCCCAGATACACTGTGCAGGCTCCGAGCTGGTGCGCAAGCCACTGGACAGGGCCTGGCCACCCATTTGCAGGAAGCAGAGTAACAGTCTGTGACGCTGAGGTTGTCCTGTGGCTCAGCCCCGCTGGAACCTGAGTGCCCTGCACCAGTGCCCCAGGCTTTGACCCTGACCTCCGGCCACTGCTCTAGATAATGGGGCACCATGCCGGGTGAGACCGAGTGGAGTCCTGGGAAGACAGCAGGCGCTGGAGCCATGAGAATTGGGGGGGGGGGGTGAATTCTGCCCCCATCCCTATAGCGGGCTGACCATACAATTAGTCCTCCAGGCTGGGACACACTGGAGAGTAAAAAAGGACACTCTTAAATATTACCCAGGACAGTAATCACAAACGGAACTGTCGTAGGCCTCTGATGTGCGTGGATACCACCTCCATAGCTATGCAGCTTGGGAAGGTTCCAGAACCACTTTGAGTGTCAGTGTACTCATCTGGAAAGTGGGGATAGTTGTACTCCCCTCCACAGGATCACATGAAATAAAGGGTGCCTTCTGCAGAGGGCAGAGGGAAAGCTCTCAATAAATGGTGCCTACAACAGGATCACTAATGAAAAGTCAAATTTGTACCCTCCCCGAGACCTCACTCACATGGGTGTGCCCCGCACCAGACATTCGAGTCCCTTCCTGCTACTCCCCACGCTTCATCTCGGCGGGGGCCCGTGGTGGCCCTCTCTCCTTGTCTTCTCCTTCAGGCCAGGTGTGGGCACCTCTGTCCTGGATCTTGGCCTTCACCTCCCAGCTGCCCCCCACCTTGTCCTGCATCCTTCGCATCACCATGCAGTCATGTCAGTGCACAGAGCTGACCGGAACTGTGCAGAAACCTTGGGCGGGTCCCCCCGCCGGCGTGCCACATTGAAACCCATGTGGTCTGGTCCCACGATCTTTTCCGCCCTACTTCTCTCCACCGTTACAGCAGAGCCTTGAAAGGGTAAGAATTTTAGAGGCCTCCGAGGTCTCTGCCTCAGGACCTTGGCTTATGCTGCTTCCTCTGCTACAGTACCCTTCCCTGTCATTGCAAACCAATCTGTCCTCAGCCAACTTGCCCAGGATCACGCAGCTCCTAAGTGGAAGAGCCCGGGTCTCCTCTGCCTCAGTCTGTGCATCCCTCCCAGTGAAGCTAGGGCGCTCCGCATTGGTCCTTCAACCTTCAAAACTGGGGGTGCCCAACCTACATCCTGGAACTCCTCTGAGGGTCAATGAGATCACAGATATGGAGAATGCTTCATGAATGGTAAAACCCAGAACAAATGCTGTTCTTACCCTTTCAAGGCACTGCTCAAATGACTTCTTGACAGCCCCTTTCTGACCACCCTTCCCAGAATTAACCCTTCCCTCCCCCACTCCCCCATTCCCCTCATTCTGTGCTATTTTTAATGCAGGGCCCCTGGGATTATCATTTCTTATGTCTGTGTTTTCTCTCTTGGAACCTCACCACACCAGAGTCCCCCCAAGAGCCAGGGATCCGTCTAATCGGATGTCTATCACATAGCGCCTAGTGTAGGGCCCTGTACAATGTGGGTGCATATTAAATGCTTACTGAGCTGCTTTCAAGATTCACCTTGGCTTTTTATAGGAACCTTTCATGCAGGGGAGAAACTGAAGACCAGTTCTTTAGTCTGAGAATTATCACCAACATTTTCTGTTCTTTCCAGTGTACTAAGGGCTTTCTTAGATGTGATCTCATTAATCCTCACCAGAACCCTGTAGCTCTCCCCCTTCTTAGCGGGGGGTCCTTTGAAAACAGAGGCAAAACAAACCTTAAAGTCTATTTTTGGGGTGCAATCCTAGGGCAGCAAGATGAGGGGAAAGCGAGGGAAAGAAGGAAAGCAATGTCAAGGTGATGGATTCTTGCAAAGCCTACCGCTTCACACAAAGTGGATCCAACCCAGAGCATCCAACCAGCCAAGGAAGGGAGTGATATTGATTTGCTGGCTCCTTCCTGAATCCTGTTTCTGGTTGCTTTAAGTTCATTTGATGAGGTACTAGCCAACTCCCCTGGACTTCCAAGTTTGTGTTACTCCGGCCTTTGTCGGTCATCATGGGGGCCAGATCCACGTCCAAGGTGCAAAGCTTCACTCCGAAACCAGCAGGGGAGGCAGGGAGCAGCCAGGCCCCCACGGTTCACAGGGTTGGACAAGGTGCCAGAGCTGCCCCACCCCCGTTGTGGCAGCCGTGTGCAGGAGACCATGCTGCAGGCTGGCCCTCACCTCTGACTGGTCACAGCGATGAACTGTGACTGGGGCTCCCCACAGAGCAAGTAGCCAAGGTCTGAGGCTGCGAGGACCTGAGTGGATCTGGGGGTACCTATGGTTGGTTGGATAATTCCCATTCCCCTTTGACATCTGAAGAAACGGAGGCTGGGAGATGTGGAGTGACTTGCCCAAGGTCATGAGGCTGTTAAGGGGTGGGCCCAGTCTCAAACTCAGGTATTCAAGCTCTAATCCAGGCCCCCTGTCCACTTGATCACAATGCAGGTGAAGAGAAATAATGGATTCTGGGATGGGTTGTAGACACTGCTCACTCCTATGGCCATTATTTTGGCCCACCTTTCCAGAAACGGATTGTATTTCTCTTAGCATCTATCCATCCATTTATCCACCCACCCCTCACTCACCTGCTCCTCTATTAAGCACCTACTTTGTTCCAGGCATACGGGACCATCCATCAACATACTGATGCTGGGCTCTGCTCCCAGACCAGACTCAGAGTTGGCTCGGGCGCCCATGGGGAAGAAAACAATCACCTTTATTATGGTACAGAATGCGCCCCATGCTAAAGAGCTCCGCATGGTGGGTCTCCCGGGGGAGGAGTGAAGAATTCATGTGTAGAAACTAAAGGAAGTTTCCCAGAAAAGGGGGTATTTGAGGTGAACACGGGAAGATGAAGAGGATTTTTAAAAAGGTAGGTTGTGAGGGAAAAGACACTCCACATGGAGGGCACAGCATGGGCAAAGGGAGGGCGGCCGGGAGAGCAGGACAGAGTCAGAGAACAGTGTCTCCGCAGTGACAACACCAGACTCTGCAAGTTTGCTCGTGAGAACTTCAGCTTCAGCTCCCTCACTGTCAGAGAGTGCCCCAGCCCTGGGCCTTTGTTGCTTGCTCAGGAATTAGGTAGCTACAAAAACAACAGAGGGCCAAGCAGAAGAGCATCACTGTGCCCTGAATTAATGAACAGAAACTTGCAGACAGCACTTCGAAGTCTCCACAGCAGAAAGCAGTCTCCTCCAGCCAGCATTTTGAGCGTGAGAGGGTCACAGATGACCTGAGAGTCCTCTCTGTTGATTTAATGACATACCTGGCCAACGAGATTATTATGAATTTTTACCAAAAAGCCAGGGACATTTACAGAGATGACAGCAGGAAGGCTCTCACACAACAGCTCTCCCTGGCTCTCGGACCACTGTTCCCCGCAGGGCGGTCCACTTTACCAGGCTGGTGTCCAGGCCAGCGAAAGCACTGAGGAGGGAGGATGCCATCCTGAGTTGGGCTGAACCCAGAGTGGAAGGAGCCAGAGCCTCTTCAGGATGCCCAGTGTCAGCCCTTTTGTTTTGCATTCGGTGAACCATGCTTGTCCCTGGTTGGTGCTAGACCAAATGGATCATTACCACTTAGAACATGTGTTAGTTTTGCGTGGGATAACAAAGCTCACAGATTAACCAGGGATCCGTTACCGAGTTTTTTCTAAAGGCTGGTACTGGGGTCAGAGATGAGAGGCCCCTGGTATCTGGGTGCCCAAGGGACAAACACGTAAGTCACTTGTGGCAAAAGCCCAAACGGAGGCCAGAGCCACACTGGGGTCCTGACCTGAAAAAACATTCCAACAACTTCTGACAGAAGTGCCGTGTGGCGGGTGGGCATATGTCGGAGCGGGGCATCTGTGGATCGTGTGCGCCTGCGTTGTATCTTGTGCTGTGCAGGAATATGAAGTTATACTGATTTATTGGTTTAAACGTTTCCTTTGAAAGACGACTGCACCGTCCCCCACCCCCCGCCCCCAGCGTCTTCCAAACATACCAGGATGCTATGGAGAGGGCACAAAGCACTCGGCCGATAATCGATGAGGATGGTAACTCCACCATGGTAATATCGACTCGGAGACATTAACCTCGCCGTGGGCTGGGAGTTTTGGAATACGACCTCGGCAAGCTGTACTTGTAACTGTTTCATGTCACATTGACCGGGCGTGTTTACGATTTTTAACAACAGCCTTAAAAAGTCCAGTGACATCTGTTGAGAGTTTAATTGTGAGTGTAAAAAAAAAAAAGGGATTACTAAAGGAAGAGTCAAGAGATCAATTTTCATACTGTTGAAACAACACGGTGGCCATCAGGCGGTGGGGGAATCTGGCGGCAGGACCAACGCAATCTCCCGAGAAGCCGCGCCGGTGTGCAGGGCGGCGGGAGGGCACGGCAGGCAGTGTAAATAAAGTAGCAGAGGGAGGCTGCCCGAGGCAGGAAGAGGGAGTAGAGGAAGAGAGGGAGCAGCGAGAGCCAGAACAGAAAAGAAACGGAAGAAAATGGACATTTTTTCCCCTCCCACCGGAAAGTCTCCCCAGCCCCGGCCTTGGGCAGCGCGGCCCGGTTTCCTCGCGTCTGGCCGGGCGCGGGGGCGCAGAGGTGGAGGGGCGTCCGGCCGGAACGGCCCCGCGGCCGGCAGCCCCGACCGCGGCCCCGCGAGGCTGCGCCCCTCCGCCCCGCCACTTTTGTTCTCGGGTCGGGCACCGGGCCGCGGCGGGGCTGCAGTGCGCACGCGCGGGCGGGGCGGGGCGGGGCGGGCGGCGGGCTCCGGCCCCGCCCCCCGCCGCCCCGGCCCGCTCCATCCGGGCACTGCCGAATCAGCATCGCGCCGAGGCACAACTTTGCCGAGGCCCAACGAGATCCAGGCGCGCGCCGGAGGAAATATAGTCCCTGCCGGCCGGCGGCTCGCGCGGGCGGCGGTGGCGCCGGGGCGGACGCGCGCGGGGCTGCGCGGGGCTGCGCGGGGCTCCCGGCGCCTGGGGGCCATGCGCCGGCCAGCGCGGGCGGCCCGGGGACCCGGCGCAACTTGCCGGGCAGCCTGAGGAGTTGGAGCGGCCGCGGGCTCGGCGCCGCGGCGCCCAGCCGCCTTTCTTCCCCCTCGCCAGACCCCCCTCCCTCCCTCCCGTTCGGCCTTGGGGGAGGGGGCTCCTGTGCCCCCTCCCTCCCCGGAGGCCCGGCCCGCCCCGCCCGCTCCCGCCCCCGTGGAGTCGCGCAACTTCCCGGGAGCCGGGGCCAAAGTGAGCGCAAAGTGCTGCCCAAGTTGCCGGGATGGAGCTGCAGAGCCGGCCCGAGGCGCTCGCCGTGGAACTCGCGCGCCACCAGGTAGGCGACCCGGGCCCCAGGCCAGGAGTGGGGGGCTGGGGGGGGGCTTCAGGGACCCGAGCCCGGCGTCCTCTTCCTCGTCGTCGCAAGGTCTGCACGGCTGAAGGTGCCCGGAAAGGGCTCCTCCTCGAGGCTGCCCCGGGGCTGGGGGGAGTTTTTACGTGCCCGGCCCCCCGCCCCCCGGGCTCCTCCTCCTCCCTCCTCTCTTGCAGTCCTGCACAGTTTGGGGGGGTGGGGTCCGGAGCCCGCGGGACCTGAGCCCCGCATCTTCTCTTTCTCCACGCAGGGTCTGCAGGACTGAGGGTGCCAGGAGGGGGCCCCTTCGTGAGCCTGCCCCGGGGTGTTTGTGTGAGAGTGTGGGCCGACCCCCACCCGGCCCCCACCCCCGTGCAGCCCCGCACAGTTTGCAAAAGTAGTTTTGGCGATTGTTGCTCGGGCTGGCAGCGGCGTGGCGGCCGGAGCCCGAGCGGAATTGCGGCGTGCGCGTGTGTGTGTTGGGGAGATTAGGACGCGACTTGAATATTTATGAGCTTTGCTCGACACGGACTCGCCGTGTTTACTTGGCTCTTTGTTCCTCCCCCCTCCCCCGGCACACAGTCACACTCACACTCACTCGCACACGCACCCCTGCCTGCAAACTTGCACGGCTCGGGGCGCGCCGCCGGGTGGCCGCGGCCCCCGCCCCGCCCCGCGAGCTGCCCCGATGAGGCGGCAGCCACAGGTAAGCGGCCCCGCGCGGCACTGCCCGGCCGCCGCGCGTGCGGGACGCAGCCCGGGGAACTTGGGGCGCGCTGCGGACAGCCCGGCCCGCGAGCTGCCGGGGGGGGGGGCTGCGGCCCGCGGGGCCCCGGGCGCACTCGACCCCCCGGGGCGGCCGGCCTGAGCCCGCTCCTCCGTGTTTCCGCAGAACGGCGACCTCAAGAAGCAGCTCCACGAAAGGCAGCCGCGGATCGCCGCGCTCAACGACACACAAGTAAGCGAGCTGGAGCCTGCGCCCCCCAACTCCGCCCGCGGTGGGAGGAGGGGTCGCCCGGCACTTTGGCAGCACCCTAAAAAGTGCCGGCCTCGGCGCCGCACGCTCAGACTCCCAAAGGAGTCTGCAGCCCTCAAAGTTACCCGGCCCCCCCTTTTTCTGGAAGAAAGAGCCGGGTTCTTGGAGGCCGAGGGGGGAGAGCAAGGCTCCCGCAGTGGCCGAAAGAGAGAAGCTGCACTTAAAAGGCGGCGAGCAGCCCGGCGTCCATTTTGAGTTGGTGGACATGTTTTTGGAATGTGGCGATTTCTCCCGGCTTGGTGTCCCCCACTTCACGCCGGTGTGAGGGTGGGGGTGGCGGGGGGCGGTATTTCGGGCCTGGACACCAAACTCCTTGGAAGCGATTTCTGGATTCCATTGCAAATCTGATTTAAAGAATCGTTCCTCTGGGCTCCCCCCTCCCCTCCACTTCTCCAGCATCACTTTTTATTCTCGGAACCTGACGCCAGCTCCCGGGGAACAAAAGAAAGGCGCCCCCAGGACCCCCCAGTTCTGCCCCAACTTTGGTCTCTGGCCTGCAGGCGTGGATTGGGACACCCGACGAGCGCCTCGCGGTGGGGGGCACGGCCGCCGACCCCCCTCCCGGCCCCTCCGGGGAGGAAAAGTTGTCCATTGTGACTTAGTTACGCTGAGCTCAGCGCTCGGGGTTTCAGCACCACGAACAGATGCCGCCGCCAGAGCGCGGCCGGCCGCGCGCCCCCGCCCCCTCCCTCCCCGCCGCTCGCGCCCCTCCCCCTCCGCTCCTCCCCCTGCGCGCCCCGCTCCCCGCACACGCGCTCCCGCCCCTTCCCCGCGCCGCCCGGAGCCGAGAACTTTGAGCGGCGCAGCCAATGGCGCTCCCGGGGCTCCGAGGCTGGCGGGGGCGGGGGCGCCGGCGCCCCTCCCCGCGGCCCCTCCCCTCCGCGGGCCCGCCCCCGCCCCGCCGCGCCCCCTGGCCATCGATCGCGCTTCCTTCGGAATGCCGGCCGCCGCCGCCAGCACCAAACTTGGACAGCACCGCCCCCGCCCCCGCCCCCGCCCCCGCTGCGGCCGCCGCGGTGGCCCCCTCCGTCCTCCCCCAACTCCTGGCCGCGGATCCGATGCCCCCTCCCCGGAGGGGTTTTCGGTGGAGGGAGAGACAGGGACGAGAGCGGCGGGGGTGGCGGCGACCGCGGAGCGGGAGAACTCGGAGGCCGGGTGTAAATTTCGAGTCTTTAAAGTTGAAAAGTGGTGGGAGGGGGCGTGCGGAAGAGGAGGGGGCCGGGGACTGCGGAAAGAAAGATGGCTGTCCCCGCGGGTCCGCGCCTGGTCGGGGGCGCCCGGCTGGACGGGAGGGTTGCGACGAATGCATTAACCCCTTTCTGTCGGTGCCGCGGCCCCCCCCCCCCCCCCCCCGGCCGCGCGCGCCCGCCCGCCCGCCCGGCCCGCGCCCCCGTCCAGGCGTGGAAGCTTCCATTCCCGCCGGAGGGGGGTCCGGCGCGCGGCCCCGGCAAAGTCGGGGAGTTCGCGGGGGGAGGGGACCCAGGCCCGGCATTACCATTTTGATTGCTTTGATGCCATTTTTGGAGGGGGAGGGGTTGGAAGACCCTTCGCTGAGCACAAAGATGTTTAATCGCTGTGTAGAATCAAATCAGATACTTTATTATTATTATTATTTTTTTTAGAAAAAAAAAACCGCATCACCAAATCCGGTACAGTGTGATAGCGAGGGATGCTAAGCCCTTTTTCACTGGGTAGAACGACAAGTTGTTGACTCTTATGCTCTGAGTGGAAGATTTAAGAGAGAGAGGGAGGGAGGGAGAGGGAGAGAATCCAGTAATCCACAGCATTTATTGCAACAATGTCTTTATGTGTGCTTCTACATGGCAATAGTTTTACTATTTAGAGTGGCTTTTCAGGGCTTGGGTTTGATCATTTCTTCTGTGTTGTAGCAACTGTTTCAAGGCTGTTTAAAATTTTATGATGATAGTAAATGAGTAGCTATTTATTATCTGTCATGCCGGAATTTCGATGAGGCTGAGAGAAACATTTGAAATTGTGTTTGGAGGCTCCAGTGCAGCTTCGGGGAAGGAGCTTTCCTACTCCAGGCTGTCTTTGCCTTTAAATTTGAACTCGGGGAAGGAGAGATGCTTGCGAATGGAATGTACCTCCATCTTTTTGTGTGTGTTGAGTGTGTGTTCAGAAAGAAAGGGAACAAGGAAAACTTTTGTTCTCTGGCCTTTTAAAAATGTTTCTCTTTTAAATGACTAAATATAACATATGGTAAGCAGCCAGCCTTGGGCCTGGCCATCGGAACTTGTGTTTGGAACTGTCTGTTGTTTTTCCTCTTCCCTTTGTGGCATTTTATATAACAAGGGCTCATAAAAGAGGGAGGGGAGGGGGCCGGGGCCGTGGTGCAGCATGCTAATAAAGCTGCCTTGTCTCTCCCGAGCTCCGCGGTGAAATCTTTCAGAGGTCACCTATGAAATGAGTTGGGTAGACTTAACATTTACTCGTCTCTCCCTCCTTGGGAGAGTTTGGTGGTGATTGGCAGCTCGGCTGGGGAAAGGTCCATGAACAGGCTCTTTGGAGGTGATTCTGGGCTGCACCCACGGTCTGGAAGAGGAGCAGCGGGGGCTCTGCTTGGTCACCTCGGAGCCTGCCCTGGAGTAGCAGAAATGTGGGAGCAGGTATGAAAAGGCCAGTATTTTAGAGTTTGTTTTTGACTCAACATAAAATTAAAGGTAGTGCTCATTTATAGATTTGCTCGGGAAGAAATTCATACCATTTACACTTCCAGAGATGTGTTTTTGTGCTGCTCCTGCTTGGAATGTGGGATGTAAAGGTTAAGTTTCAATTAAAAGTGCATACGTGGATGGTGAACTAGATAGTAAAGCGAACGGATGACCCCATTATCCGCATCTGTTAGAAATACAATAGCAGCTGAGTAATATCTTTTGGTGCCCAGCCATCACTTTCCCATTCACACCCTTGACACTGGAATTTTTTCAGTGATTTCTAGAAACATGGACAAGTGTTTAAAGATGTTTATCAAGGACTCGCAGAAGTAAATAGGTTGGTTGCCGGTCAGAAGTAGAGAGATACAAATCCTGTATAACTCTCCAGTGTCTCCCACCATTGGTGGACTAGGGGATAAACAGGAAACCAGCTTCCATAGGACCTCACTGTTTGAAAACGGAGTTCATATTTTTTCCTTTAAAAAAAAAGAAAAAGGAGGTGTGGGGAGTTGGTCAGAGCTGAGTTTTGGCCAGGCTGCATTCCCAGGTGTGGCTGCGCCTGGCTGCCAGGTTTTGAATTCCAGTGGAGGACGGACCCCTCGTCTTTAACGACATGTGATGTGTGAAGACTCCATTAGTTGCTCCAGTGGTTTTACGCCATGAATTTGCAGCACATGCAGAGAGGCAGTAACATTTTTATCTAAATTGTCAAGCAACAAGCACTTCCGTGTAAATAACAGACCCATCATGAATACTGTGTTTTTTTGTTCGTTTGTTTGTTTGTTTGTTTTCCTTCCCTCTTTGGAGTTCTCAGCACGACATTTAGGTGTCACATGTAGTGGGCATTTCCAGACCTGAACTTCATGAAGTTCAGCTTCACCACAGAGGGAGAAGAGCCTTCTGTGTTAACTGCAGCCCGGGCTGGTGTGGCCTTGTGAGAGAGAGACCCCCCCAGAGGTGAACTTGGGGCCTCTTGTGCCGCTCGATCCATCGATTTGATGGACTCTGGATTCCGAGGGGCTGTCCTTAAGTGCAGCCATAAAAATATGTCTTCTTGAAAGGTATTATGTATGTGGCATGCACCCGGGCGCTGAATCATGTCTTCACTGTGATTCACTAGCCGTGGTGGACACCAGAGGGACTTTGCCTTGGAAGTATCCACCAAAGGAAATTGCAGGCTGGGTTTTATTCCGAAAGCTCCCGATTGTTTGCAGTCCTTTGGTAAAAGGACATGCCATTTTCCAGGCTTTCCTTCAAGGCTGTCCCTATCCAGGAGGGTAAATTTTCATCTTCCTGACTTTGAGTGGAAGTTGTCATGCTTCTGATAGCATCATTATGTGCTAAAGAGAAAAGTGTCCCAAAGTTCCACGTTCTATCCCCTGCAGGGAAGAGTATGGACTAGGACAGCAACCCCCAGCCCTGGCTTGCCCACCACCACCCTTACCCCCCAACAGCCCATGTCCCTCCCACCCTCACCTGAACCCTGTTCCTGGAATCCCTCTTCCTCTACACCCCCCCCCCCACCACTCGGGCCCCTCCTCCATCACCTCTTAGTTGGAAGATTGCAGTAGCCTCCTCACTGCATCCCCTGTAAAAACAAACAAACAAACAAAACCCCCCCCCACCAACAAAACCCAGAACAGCTTTATTGAAGTACAGTTGACCTATCCTATCATTCATCCGTTTAAAATGCACAATTAAATGGGTTTTTTGTGTATATTCACAGAGATTTGCGACTGTCACCACCATCAATTTTAGAACATTTTCATTCCTCAGAAAGAAACCCCCTGGCTCTCACTCGCTGCCCACCCCCGCCCAGCCCTAAGCAACCACTGATCTGCCTTCTGTCTCTAGAGAGTTGCCTATTTTGGCTTTCCTGTGAATGGAATCACACGATGTGCTCTGTTTATGACCAGCTTCTTTCACTGAGCATCATGTTTTCAAGGCTCATCCCAGTGGTAGCAGGTGGTGGCCCTTCATTCCTTTTTGTGTCCGAATAATATTCCATTGTACAGGTAGACCACAGTTTGCTTGGCTGTTCACCAGTTGACGGGCATTTGGGTTGTTTCCTTCTCTTGGCCACATGAATAACGTACTGTATCTCCTCTTGCCCCTTCTGGTATGTTCTGCTTGCCCTGCTTGGTCTCCGCTTCAGGGCACTCTCTGCTTGGTTCTGCTTGGTCTCCGCTCAGGGCACTCTCCATCTCCCTCCTGCACATGGCAGCGCTGTCTCTATGGTTGCTTCCG